CAAATTTAGTATTACAATATTATTAATTAGTATTATTTAGTATTGTAATATAATTTATATAATAAATATAAATATATAAATTATATATAAGTATATATATGACTTCGTGCTAGTTCTTTTAATGTATCGGAATTTGTTGTAAACAGAAATCTCTATTTATATGTTTACAGGAATGTTTACAGTATAATAATGAAATTATGGGGCGAGATGAGTTTGCAGATTTATTATTATTATTATTATTATTTATTATTTACGTTTACAGATTTTCGTACAAATTACACAGATGTTTGAATTATGAGAAAGCAAACAATTTTGAGAATTTCTTCTACGGTTAAAAAGTTTACATTTCATCAAAATTGAGACATTAATAGTTCGTTAATTATGCAGCTAGTTGCATAAGGAATATGAAACTTGATCTAGAAAGAAAATAGTTTAATATAGCTCAATTAATTAATTATTTAATAGATTAATAGTTTAATATTAGCAATATTAACTTATATATACAATAACTTAATATAAAATCTAAAATAATAATAAAAGATTTCGAAAGGATCTGTAGTTCAAGCAAATAATTATTAACAAAAATTGCCTTATGTTCCACGTAGATGTCTTGCTGCTATTTTATGGGGAAATTCTTAGTTTCCGTGACAGATTTACTATCGACGGAAATTCCATTTTATCCGGCTATGGATTTTTTGTGTTTGTCGTTGCCGCAAAAGTTCGACAACTTAAAAAAAAAGTTTCTTCTTTCACCAGTAGTTAGATTGAAATTTTTATTCTATAAATAAAGGGGATAACAACGCGTGCGTTGAAGTTGAAGTTGAAGAGGAACTTTTTCCTCTCGCAACGTAGGTATGACATTATTTTATACTTTGACGTAACTCGGTGTTTATTTATTTATTGCAAACGTTCGCGTGGTCAGGAGAATTCTGATAACAGGTAAAATGGACGAAGCCTTCCATCCCCTCGCTCCTTAAAATTCCCTTCGCCGATCGATAGTCCCATTTCTGTTTAACAGAAACTGTAATCGTGAAATCTACAGGGTGTTCTTTTGATTAGGATATTGTTAAATTCATTGTACGACGATTTCCTTGTAAACGAATGCAGTAGTAATTTGTTATCAAGATTTTACAATCTTTTAACTGTATCTAAATGATTTTAGTTGAATGAACTACGATTACACGTTTAGAATTGTTGTACGCGATTAGGTAATTACGTTTAGAATTGTTGTAAACGATTAGGTAGTTAAATAGAAATTATTATCTCGGCATCTTCGAAAATTAAACGGCAATTTTTTAGTATTAATTAATACTTTCTATTTTGTAACAATTAATCAATAATATAAAGATGCTTTACAGAATCTATAATATTCTTTCACGAGGTAAATAAAAAAAGTTATTTTTCATGAAGGTATTCGTTCGGCAATATTTATAACAAAAGAATCTATCGAATGAGCATTTTATTCGGAAACGTAATTCAAGATGACTTTACAGGAGAAACAAACTTCAACGTCGCTTATACGTAAACGCATACTTAAACAATTCTCGCATTTTCCGGAGCAAATAATAATATAGTAAAAATTAATAATACATTGTTTGAAGGTGAGAATAAGCAAGAATATTATTTTAATTTACCAAACTCAGGTAGTAGCTAATAAATGGAGACCGAATTAATGTAATTAAAAACTTATGTTCATAAGTCCTCACCGTAATAAAAGAATTAAAAAAGAAAGGTATGTTTAAAAATGATTTTTCGTTAAAGAGACATTTTTTTAATCATTTCCGAATAATTGTATGAAAAA